GCAGCCCCCACACTGAAGCACCCTCATGCCCCAGCCAGCCGGGTCAGCATCTACATGTGCATTGTTGCACATGAAAAAACTCTGCAGCGGGGTAGTACTTTATTAGTTTTTTCTGCAGACTAATAGGGCCGCATGTGTAGATACTGAGATGTTATACTGTGGAGCTAATTAGGCAACTGCAGTAAATGTCTTGTGTAGATAGGCCCTACATGGGGGTAACTACATCATTGGTCTTCTCAAATGAAACTGTTCAGTGAGTATTTTCACATGTGGCTTTTCCAGGCTGAAGCTAAATTTATAAAACAAGCAGTTCTCCATGGAAATTGCTATGTAGGAATCTCTTGTAGGAGACTATTTTATTAATGCTGCTTAAAGTGAGCATAAAATATTTCATATTCCTGTAGACCATGACTCCCAAACTAAAAAGGCCTTCTGTAGCTGATAGCATTCTGGACCTGATGGCATTCACCCAAGGGTCCTGAAGCAGCTCAGATCAGAAATTGCTGAGGACACCTAGCTGTAGTATACAACCTACCACTAAAACCAGCCTTGGTACCAGAGGACTGGAGGGCTGCCAATGTGCCTCCCACATTTAAAAGAGGCTCAAGAGGGGATGATGGGAACTACAGGCCAGTGAGCCTGACTTCTATTCCTTGAAAACTGGAAGAAACAATAATAAACCCCCCCCACATTGTTTAGCACATGGATGAACATGACTTGCTGGAGAGGACTCAGCATGGCTTTATCAAAGGGAAATCATGCTTTGTCAGCCTACTAGTTTTTTGAGCATGTCAATAAGTAGGTGGATCACAGCAATCCAGTTGACATAGTATATTTGGACTTCCAAAGCCTTTGACAAGGCCCCCCATAAGAGGCTCTTAACTAAGGTAGTCATGGAATTACAGGGAATGTCCACTCATGGATTAGAAATTGGCTCAAAGATGGAAAGTAAATGGTGACTATAAAAGGCCAGTTTTCAGGATGGAAAGAAGTAAACAGTGGGGTCCCCAGGGATCTGTGTTTGAACCAGTGCTGTGATCTGGAAAAGGGGCTTAATAGTGAGGTGGCCAAACTTGCCAATGGCACAAAATTATTCAAAGTGGTAAATACTGAGGCAGACCGTGAGGAACTACAGAAGGATCTGGCATGATTGAGCAAATGGACAACTAAATGACAGGTGCAATTCAATGTTAGAAAACTGTAAAGTAATGCATCTGGGCAACAATAACCCAAACTTTACCGACACTATGATGGGCTCTACATCAGCTATTACCACGTAGGAAGGAGACTGGGAGTCACTGTGGACAATTTGCTCAGTAGCCATCAAAAAGGCAAGCAAAATGTTAGGCATGAATGATGCATGACCCTGGAGGCTGGGGGCAGGTGGCCACGGTGGTGCCAGTGGCAGGGGGGGGGGGGGGAGGGGG